CTCTCTCTCTCTCTCTCTCTCTCTCTCTCTCTCTCTCTCTCTCTCTCTCTCTCTCTCTCTCTCTCTCTCTCGCTCGCTCGCTCCCTCGCTCCATCGTTTGCGCCCCAACAGCCGCAGGAAGGGCGTTCGACAGCGGCATCTCACGCACGCTTAGGTCATAAGCGCAGAGAAAAAGAAACAAACAGAGCGAACGGGAAAGCGCGGAGAACACGACAATGAGACCAGAATGGAGACCGCAAAAGCAACCATCGAGGAAGGCAGGCTATCGTTGATTCATTGCAGCGCCCCTGGCACGGCAGTGATAAATAGGAAAGAGTGATTGTGTGAAGCAAAGGATGGTTTGAGCAACCGGGGGAGAGCAATTGTGCGGATCAGAATGGGCAAGTCCTAAGATAAAAGTCCACGACGAGGGGGGCGTAGAAGAAGAGAGAGTCAATGCGAAGAGTTATAACCAGGATGCCTCGTTGTGTGAAAACGCAAATCCAGCCTCGACGATTACGTCATGGCACCCGATGAAATTAGAGACGTCATCCCCTTTTCTCTCCCCAAGCGCCCTTGACAAGATCCAACAACAGAGCCAATTGGCTGGTCGACATCCAACACTTAGGCAATTGTTATTTTTTGAATTGCCATTACAAGTGGCTACTGTGACACGAGAGATCGACGTTAAGCAACCCCAGGAGACGGATCAGGACATCGAATCCTTGGCGCGGAGCCCGCATGAGCATGGTAATACATTGGTGTCTTTGTCAAACGTAAGGAAACGAGAATAAGAGGAGGGAATGGATGCAGAAAGGTAATACTGTAAGAGGGGAGGGCCAGAGAGACACGCAAGGAAGGAAGAAGAGTAGAAAGCCGAGAGGTAGTCTAGGGGAAGTTTGAATAGGATAAGGGGAACGAGAACGAGAGGACGGGCAGATGTGCTGGAAGAGTGAGGAATAGGATAAGGCGGATGAGAACGAGAGGACGGGCAGATGTGCTAGAAGAGTGAGGATGGGAGACAGGCAAGGGTGGATGGAAAAGTGAGGAGTCTGAGAACTCACCTGCGGGAAGATGATACAGATGCGCGCGTGCTTGAGAGAGAGAGAGAGAGAGAGAGAGAGAGAGAGAGAGAGAGAGAGAGAGAGAGAGAGAGAGAGANGAGAGAGAGAGAGAGAGAGAGAGAGAGAGAGAGAGAGAGAGAGAGAGAGAGAGAGAGAGAGAGAGAGAGCAGAGAACTCCGCGATGCCGCGAATAGCGTCAGCAGAAATAACAGCACGAGCAGCTATAAGTATGCAGCCCCAGTATCATGATTGACGCACAACGAGAGACGCGAGATATGCGGAATAGAGGTATAGTAGGCCGTACGTTCGGTATTAACTTCCGCGAGGATCCATCCATCCCGCCGACCCGCCATGGCGATAGAGAGAAAGCGGTCATAATTCTGCCCCGCGCGTTGGGCGTTCTCCTCAACGCGCGCACTCCCTCAATGCGCGCACATCTCCTCTCTTCCAGATACACGCGCCAGTGAACTCCCCCTCACCCCTCCCTCTCTCTCCGTCCAGGTCACTCCCGCGTGACCAAGCCACAAAAACCAAGTTCAATCCTGTGGCTCCCGGATTGGCGCTGAGCTTCGGCCCGCGTGGCGCGGGCGCACAAAGCTGGGCCAGTTTCTCTCCACGGGAACCACGAGGGAACCAAACACCCCACCCCCCACCGCCCCACATGGACCCCTCCCTCCCTCTCTACCGCCCTGTTGCTCATCAGGCAATGATGATGGTCATCTGATTTACCGCGGGGACACGGGCACGCAGACTAGAGGCCAAACGGGGCGTTGAGCGGACGTCCGAGCGGCGAAAAAGAAGGGCAGGCGCAGTTGTAGCCCAAAGGGCAGGCCCAGGGGCCAGCGGGGACGGATGTAACAGCAGGCCTTGCAGGAATCAAATGTTGCCTGGTTCTGTCATAGGATGGAGCCACACAGGGCCGGCACCACAAGGTGAGAGAAAGAGGACCTGTCCCTAGGGAAGTCTGATTGCCTACTGCGAGGGCCACACAGGGCCGGCACCACAAGGTGAGAGAAAGAGGACCTGTCCCCAGGGAAGTCTGATTGCCTACTGCGAAGGCCACACAGGGCCGGCACCACAAGGTGAGAGAAAGAGGACCTGTCCCCAGGGAAGTCTGATTGCCTACTGCGAGGGCAACGCAGCCCTAAGGGCATTTGTTTTTCGTTTTGTGTATGTGTGTGTGTGTGTGTGTGTGTGTGTGTGTGTGTGCGTGTGTGCGTGTGTGTGTGTGTGTGTGAGAGAGAGAGAGAGACAGCGAGAGAGAGGGGAGCTATCAGGCGCCGGCCTTCCTCGTTAACGCCCCAACACCTTTGGGGGTCAGCCAAGGGAAGGCCCGGTCGCTGCTTGGAGGCCGGGCCTCGGTTCACCCCGCACGACACCAAAGAATGAAAGAAAAAAGAAAGAAAGAAAAAATAATCAAATACACAAAATTTAAAAAAGAAAGAAAATGAAAGGTAAAAAACAAAGCCACGCGGGACAGAGGAAGGGAGGGAGGGAGGGAGAGAGAGAGAGAGGGGCGGCGACCTGCAAGGAGGGCCAAATGCATCTTCCCCCAAAAGCGGGATGATTCATTCCCATTTTCATTTTTCAAAACGAGAGAGAGAGAGAGAGGGGGGCGGTGACCTCTCCGTGTAGGTCACCGCCCCCCCCCCTCTCTCTCTCTCTCTCTCTCTCTCTCTCTCTCTCTCTCTCTCTCTCTCTCTCTCTCTCTCTCTCTCTCTCTCTCTCTCTCT